GTCCAAACTTTGCACAAATTTAATGAGAATTTAAAAAAAAGAAATAAAAATTAAATGTTTTAATTTCTTGGTTTAATACCTTCATATTTTAAATTTCTAAAACTTCCCTGATATTAAAGTAATATTTACAATTTGAATGGAAGACTTTTGCTAAACAGTGTAATGTTAGAAATGTAATAGCAAAAATATACCTGTTTTTTTTTGTACCTTTGTACTTTAATTACTTTGAAAACCTTCAGATTTACCTTTACTAAAGTTTGTTTTGACACATTCTGTAGTGTGCCTATACTGTAAACCCAACTTGGTGCTGAATAAATAGAAAATAGGGAAAAATAAATTAACAGGATAAATAAATTATGATCTTGAAATAACTGCAGTGAATAATGAGCCAGAAACCCCAAGAAAGACTGAGATGCAAAAGAAATGCAGCTAAACGTAAAACCTGAAATTAAGGACTATTAGTTTGAGATATTTACAGAATATTGTGTTTTCTAAAGCTGAACATTATTTTAAAGACATTGGCATTGTGATATTAATATCAGTATCTGGRATAAATCATGGACTTTTATAATCCAGGTGCCTTGTTTTCATTTGGATGATAATATTTTGTAAACATCTTGACGACAGAACAAACAAGAGGTAAATAAAAGTTAGCTCATGTTTTTTAAAAATGTTATATTTTAATGCTTCACATGAAAGATCCAATCTGCTGTTAAAACAGGAACTTTTACTCTACTTTAACTTTACTTTTTGGTTTTACTGGTTTCAGCTTATCACAGCAACAGTACTTATACTTGAGCAAAATATTGTTGTACTCCGTCCACTGTTGTTTTTGCCTGATGTGGACAGACTTGAGTCTGTTTAACTTTCTCATTGATGGTCACTTTTCTGCTAACGAGTACCTTCAAAACACCGTATCTAGATGAATTCACCCAAACTGCAAAGTTTTTGTTAAATCAGCTTGATTAGGAAAACCACAACTGTGAGATTACRATTAATAGTAGGGACATACAGAAGAACCAAGGCTTTGCTGATGGTTTAAAGCAGACTTTAGGTGTCACAAGTATGGCAGCAAAAAAAAATAAGTTCCTGCTCTTTCTCTGAAGTCTAACGAAACATCACATTAGATTAGTATGTTTTGTGCACAAGAAAAGAGGATGCGGGGGTGTCACTGCTCCAACACACCTGTGACTGAATTAACTCTTCAAATTCTGCTGAAGCCTGTTAACAACCTATCATCCAAATCAGGTGTGTTGGAGCAGGAAAACCTCTAAAACATGCAGGATAGAGACCCTCGAGGACTGCAGTTTGACACCACAGATTCAAGGGGTTCTTCCTACCTTCGGGGGGCATCAGCGTCTTCTTGTTCTGGGCGCACCAGCCCACGGGGTGCAGCTCTGCTGTCATGATGTCACACCAAAAGTCTGCCTTGCGGTCGTCGCYGTAGCCGCTGTAGCGCAGCAGCAGCAGCTGGCCACATGTGGTGATGATGGTGGCCACCCAGTACGTCTCTGGGTTGCTCTTATTGGCCACCTCTAGCTTCATACCTGGCTGGAAGCTGCTCTGAAGGCTGATTTCCACCTACACGGGACAATAAAGGAATACATCATGTTTATAACAAGGTTCGGTGCAACAAGAAGACAATAAAATGTTGAGATCAGTTTTTTATTTTGCAGTTGAAGCTTTTATAATAGTAAACAATTTAAATGCAAATGTAAGCTTTTTTTTTTTTTTTTTTACATTTTTAGGCTCATTTTTTAGCTTACATCTGTCTGCAGTGCAGTTTGATGTGTTAAAATCGAAAGTTGACCATAAAACAAATTTCATTTAATGTTTTTTTCCCCTAAACTGCTTCAAATGCAGAACTAGAAAGCAAAAGACTGAAGCAAAAGGTCAAATTCCTGCTAAGCAAAGATGACCGTGAACGAGTCATGAGCAAAAATGCTTACATTTATAAACAAGGAAAATGTTTCAGGGGAAACTCTGAAAGTTTTACACACAAAGATAAAATTTAGTGGGAAGTAAGACAGCCCGTGTAAACAATAGTTTTAGTGATTTACTTTGGAAAATATGATGATTTCATTTTGAAAACAACAGAGAGATTTGTGTGAACAGCCTAGCAGCAAACACGCTCTTCATTGCTTCATAAAAGCAGCTTTAATTTAGTTTTGTTTAATTGACCCCACTGGACATCATTATTTTTGCTTCAGCTGATTCAATTCTAAACATTTATATTTAAAGCTGTCCCTCAATATAAGTAAATAAAAATATTAACTGATTTTTTTCTTTTAATGTAGGTTTTAGTTTATGATAGTTCCGGGCTGTACTCAGTTCTTAGGAGCCTAACAGGATGTTCACATTCATTACTCACTAACACAACTGAATGAATAAGGCAACATCTTAGAAATAAACACAATACAGTTGGTCCTGGGACTTCCTGCTGCAACAATGCAAGTGTGCTGTATTCCTCTCTGGTTGGGTTATGTAAGAGGGCAGCCTCAGCAGCTAAGTCTGCCTGAGTGTGTGGGGTTGTGTGTGCACGAAATCATTGTTTCAATTTGTCCAAGGAGGGAGAGAGAGAGAGAGAGAAACGAGGGCAGCACATCACTAAATCACATTTTCCTGGGGAATTCGTGTTCCGTTTTTCTRTCTCTCAATCCACTTACCAACAAGGCAATTTAGCGTCCCCAGAGACCTCAAATCACCACTCAGACAGTTCGTCCAACATCAGGACTCATAAACCCCGCAGATTCTGATCCTGCCCCCATTACACTCATTGCTTTTTAAAATCAAACAGCAAAAACGTTTCCACCTCTACAGCCCGGGCCGCTGAGAGCCTCATTGGAGCTGGCATCTGCTTTGTCGGTCAAACACACCATTATCTAATGGATAAAAACCTCATATCCAAGAACAAATAGATGCACCAATCTGCCCCCGTTTTGTAATTGAAGCAAAGCTTTATACTTATTTGGTAAAGGGGGAACGTTTGGAAAATTTACTAGTCAAACTGTCTCATACAAAGGCATAAGAAAATGTACAATAAGGACTGAAAGGACATAAAATGTACCATCATGTGCATTACATAACAGTCAGCTGCCATTCCTGGGGTAAGTCAATCATGAAGATTAAAACATTTAAAAGTGTTTTACAGATTAGCACAAACTACAAATTAAAAAAGATGTTGTGAATCTGTAATACAAAAATCAACTAAACAAACTCAAAGATAAAAAAGAAGCAATTTCAATATAAATATATTTTTTCTATCAACAGTTAAACATAATAATGTTAAATCCTATCATGGTTTAAAAATACTGTATATCAAGGCTATTCAACTAAATTGCTCCGGGTGCCACAGTTAATGCAGACCAGCAGCACAGGGGTTGAAATTAAAGTCATTATGTAAATAAACCAAGTATTACAAAGATCTCCTACCTTTGAAATAGTTTATTTTGCTGTGTTTAATCATGAATACAACATGCAGAACCCTATGTAATAAAAGTAGTGATAATAAAACAATAAAAACAAAAAAAAAAAACACATTATGCCTCCTGTTTAACACAAGTAAGACAACTCTGACTTGGCAAAATTTAAAACCAATTTTATTTTCATAGTTTTATCCTAAACTGTTTGTAGTTTTAACTGTCTTAGATGTTCATAGAAATGTTTTTTTTTACCAGCTTCTAGACAAGATTCTGACATCAATAAATAACTTGTACACTTAATTATGTAAAAGTGTCTCACTAACATTTTACAGACTAAATATGTTACTGGAAATACCTGAAAAGACAGAATTGAGATTTATTAAATTTTAAACTGTACTGCAGATAGAGGTCAAAATGTATTAAAATAAACAAGCAAACCAAAACCCCCTATGGTTGGAATAACAAGCAAAAGCAAATCTTTATTGTACAATACTTGGGTTTGCAGTGGTTATATTTTTTACATATATAACATGCAATTTTTATTAAGACTGCAAATATATTTGATACAATTAATCAAGAGCAAAAAAATATGAAACTGAAAGTCGATTCTAGCAAAATATATGCATCCTTGCATTCCCCCAAGAAATCAGGACTTCACTTACTATTTTTACATTTAGTTTTACATAAATAATTTTAAAAAATCTAATAAAAGCACAAAACCACCTGCCAAAGGAGTGTTTTTTTTTGCATCACTGCATGTTTTGTACGCTTTCCTGCGTCACTAAAAACATTTGTGTTTTTAAAACAAATATCTTCAACAACTTACATCACGAGGAAACAAAGAGCGAACAGAGTGCATTAAAGGTGTTCACACAGCACGTTCTAATGTGTTGTTAAAGGCTCTCACGTCATACTTTTCTGCAAGACTGTGTTTAAAGGATCAGAATCAAGAGTGGTGATCGTACGTGTTTGAAAGTGGTGTGAGGGGCGGCGTCTGCTCCCGTCTCCTCCATGTACTCCTCCCAGATGAACTCCTCTTCCATGGACTCTGCATCTAAACAAACATCATCATTAAATAATTAATTTCTAATCAAATCCGCTTAGGGTGATTTTAATTCACAGTTTAGCACACATAAATGCAGCTGATAAGCGCTGAACTCACAGGGAATTATTTATAGGACTCGTCTGAGCGCACAGCAGGCTACATAACGTTACATAACGTCACTAATGTTCCTCCTGATGCTAAGATTTGTTCACTTTGCCTGTGGGAGACTGACACATTTAAAGCATCGTGTGTCTGTTGTTTTTCACTGTTGTGAGTCTGTTGTATCTCTGGAGACTCCAGCATGAGGCTGTTCAGTTTAACAAGAGGAGACGGGAGGTAAATGATGTTCGCTTTGTCTCATGAATGCAGACACACACACCTGCTGTTCCTCAGATTCTTCTACTCCTCCTGTTGTGTGAAAGTTGAAGGTTCACAAAATGCTGAATTTCAACAAATGTAAACCTTTTCTTTAGTTTAAAAAAAGCATGACTGCTTAAAGTGAACGGTCTCTTTCTTTTTTTTAATGTTTTTTTATTTGGTCTATTTTAAAACTTAGCAAGTTTATTGCTTGGGGCTGGAGGAAGTGCAGAACAAAGAGCAAAACTGAATGAGAGCTTTGTGTTTTCTATAGAGGAAATCAGTATGTTGCCAAATAGTATGTGGTGATTAGGATATCTTTGTAAAACGTATCTTGTTAACATTAACTATGTCATGAATGCATCACAAACTGGTGAGTAAATACCAGAAAGTTATATAAAAATAAATATTATTTGTCACCAACTCTTTGCTCAAACATTTTAGAGCTTAATCAAGTTACTCAAAAAGACAGAAAAGGCTGCAAACATACAAAATCCTCCATGAACACAGAGGAAAACAGAACATTTCACATAAGCTGTAAAGCTAAATACTCATGACCACTGCAGAGACAAAAGTCAGATGTTTACGAGGCTTAGTGGGGTTAGAAAGAAAAGGCTTGAGTCAAAAAATATGCAGGATGTGACATTTAAAAAAGCAACAATGTTAAACAGGTAAAGCTGCAAATATAGACTATAACTCCCACCAGAAGGTAAATTAATCTAATGTTTTCATTGTGATTGTAAACACAGACTTATTTCTAAAGCTGTTTTACCACAACTATGCTTGAAGCTGCGACTCTGCGTCCTGTATGTAAATCATCATGAAAAAGACTATCATTAATGACCAGCTGATGTGAGATCAGTCACAACTGTGTCTACAGCCAAAACAAACTTTACTAATCTCACAAGCTTCAGATAATTACCTGAGAAAGTGAAGCTGCATCAAACTGTGTGTGCTGTTGCTTCTGTATGCACGATGCATCATCTAATCATCTGATAGAATTGGTGCAACTCTTCTGATATTGACGTCGCTTGCATCATCTTTGTTTGTGTTGTTAGTGGGGTGTGAGATGAGAGATGGAAGCCATCATTCCTTAAGATTTAGCTTCTTAGCAGCCAGGCTCCCTTGTAACTTTTTAAAAGTATTAACAGACCTTTTACAGTTTTTCCTCTGGACTTTGCTTTTTAAAAAAATTAATTAAACATATTTTTTTAGTCCCTGTGCAAGACCATGACAAGGATTTTAACAAAATGAGAAAAGTTGGAGGAGAAAAAAACCCACCAAACTTTCTACATAATTTACAATATCTGTAATGTTTTTAAGAGACAATAAAAAGAAACCAGAAAATTTACATCAAGTTTTCAGTTTGTAGCACTTAAGGAATCACCTGGTTGGAGCTAAAATACTTTAAGTGTCAAACTGTACACATTTGGTGTTTTTCATAATTCAGTTTAAAAAAATTGAACAAATTGTGTCTTTGCTACAGGCTGCTAATAACAAAAGATTCATGTTAAACTTGTTTTGTGTTGACAACAATAGCTTCATCATTTGAGATTAAGAAACTTTTTAAGCCTTAATTTAAAGATCAGGCTTTGACAGTAAAACTAAACATTTTCCTGAATATGGTCAGGTAATAACACCAAGTGACCAAAACAACCAAAATCCCATTAAATTTTATGAAAGACTTTCAGGAAATCTAAAGAAATTTTGATCAAGAAAACTTAAAGTTAACAGAAAAGTCTGACTGCACACAGAAACAAAAYATAAAGAAATGAAGAACGACTCAAGACGCACAACACTGTCCTGTGTGTGCATCAGTATTTTTAATTTTAAAATGTTTTATTTATTCTGTCTATGAGCACTGAATTTACATGTACAAAATAAAACTGTAAATCTTAGTAAACTCATAAAAGAGGAATTGCAGCACTCATTTACTTTTGTTTTATGTAAACTTCATCTAAATACTTTATACACAGGGTGACTACAAAACACTAAAAACTTGTTTTGAATGTTTGTTGGCTTGTTCAAAACTTTCCAAGGAAAAAACAGCTCATCTTTGGTCTGAACGGAAACTGAAACTCAACTAATGACTTTTAATAATGAAAGTAAACTTAAAAAAAAAAATCCAAAAAAAAAAAAAAAAAAAAACAATTATGAAAACATTTTTGTGTGTGTTTGTTCAACACTATCAGTGCAGGTATCGACTAGACTGGCAGAAGAATGTTGTTAATCTCAGCAGCACTGTGTGCAAAACATCCTCATACGTCACATGATACCGTGTCGTTTCAGACGCTCTAATCAATGCCTTCAGCTCAAACTGGATGTGTTTACCAGCCAGAGAAAAGCTACATGCTTATGATTCAGACTGTGACTGGAATACGAGCCGGTAATGAATCAAAACATGAGGACATGTGTCAAAACAAGATAAGGTGATACAGCGTGGAGGTGCTTTCACTGTACGTTTCCTGTCATTCTAACATTTTTAAACACAGCAGGAAGAATTATAAAGTGAGTCACGTTTTTAACTCCAAATAAAACGTTATATTTAGGTGAGTGCAGCTTCATTAAAAACAAAACAGACCAAAGTTAAAGTAAAGAATAGATGAAGTAGATCTTACCTGTGTTCACCTCTTCTTCTTTTCCATTTGTTGAAAAGAGCAGCGGTGCTACAGTGAGGGCCAGCGGCTGATCCTGAGTCTGCATCTCGCAGCGTTTGCTCCCGGCAGGCGTGACCTTTGACCTGATGAGGCTCAGCTCCTCTTTACTGCATCCCTCACGTTCCCCGTTAGCCCTGCAAGAGAAGAGTCGACCTGAATCAGTCCTCTCTGACTTATCAGATAACTGCGAAACAGATGATATCCATCATTGGATCAACAGAAAACTGAGGGTTTTGGTTTAAAAAGCAACTACTTGGTGAAATCTTCCTTGAAAAAAAAAAAGAAAAAAATAGTCTGACTGGAAATGAAGCATTTACAGCTTCTTTAAAGTGGTTGTTTCGTGTGAAGAGAAGCAGCAACTGTAATAACCATAACAAAAGAAAACATAAAAACAAACAAAGCCTTAATAAATTCAAGTGTTAAGAAGAACTCAACTAATCTTTTTAATATCCCCAAGCAAAAACTCTATAAAAGTCAAATGCATTTTAAAAAGGATATTAACGAGAAAGTTATAAACCTGTAATCGCAAACCATCCTCTGCCTCTTCAGTTCTGTAATAGTCCATGGCTGACTGCTGCATGCATTTGCTTACCACAGCAAAACTTCCATCACATAACCAATCAGAGTCAGATAAAGCAGAAAAACTGGAAGGACACGAGCAAATTAGCCTGACTAGAAAACATGCGTGTGGTCGAACACAGAAGTGGAGGGAAAAACCCTCGTAGCAGCTAATTAGAAGAGAAAAAAGAGGAAATATGACTGTAAACATGCATTTATGACACATAGAGCAGGGACTTGAATCTTGCAGTAAACAAATACTATTTCTGTTTTCTAAACCATCAACCTAAAAGTTTCATTTAGACTTTCTGCCCTCATTTCTTTGTTTTTATGTTTGCTTTGTGATTTTCATATTTTTACCCAGATGATCCATATTAACTGACACAGCTGCATTCAGATCCTGAGGTAAAAACATAACTGATAAGCAAATCAGCATTAGCCTGTTAGACCTGATGAGCAAAGGTGAGTTCCCCCCTTTTAGAGAAACCAATAACTCAGTGATTCCCAAACACTGCAGCTTTCCACCCACATAAAAAGTCACAGAGACTAATAACCCCAAGTACACCTTTGGGAACCACTGAACCACACAACTGAGGCAATCGTCTTCCTTTTCCCAGTGTTTTTGTTAGAATTCTCCTTTTCTTAAGAAGGAATTTTATGTGTAGTATTCGTAAACGTTTTCATTGTCCTTGTGATTTTTTTTTTAAATATCTTCCAAAGGGTCAAACTTCCACATATTATTTTAAACAAGCTTTGTGGAGTGCAAAAGAAAAAAAAATGTCAGGATACAAAATAAATAAAGAAATAAACAGTTTGCAGAGATAAACAGAAAGTCACGCCCTAAAGAATACAGCAAAGAGGAGAGAGATGGATCGTTCTTCAGCTGGTCATTTCAAGTTATCATTTAATACGAATCACTGTGATGGAACTAAAACTCTTTTTTCTGTCTGTCAAACTCAGTCATTTTTTCCCCATCATTTAAAAGAATAAATAGAGGAAACTAAAAATGCACTTTTGGGATTCAAGAAGATGGAACCGTCGTGCCGAGTGGAGCCAGCAGAAGGCAATATTTTTTAGGGGTGGCTGTTGCATCCCCTGGCCACGGGTTTAACAAAAATAAATAGATTCCTCTGAAAATGGACCAAAAAAAATGAGTGAAAGGCATCAAATGCAAAAGAAAACCTTTAAAAATAATTAAAATAACTAATAATTAAAAACACTTTTTTAAAAATTATAGCTCCTTGGAAGTAAAATATGAAGAAATGAAGGATAGTTTATGACTTTACAACACTGGACATCTGCTATTGTGTATTACATGCTTAATAATCGTTTAGACAAAAATGAATAAATTGACTTTAATAAATTGTCCAAATTACATTTCATCACACTATTTCTTTAAAGAACAGAAGAACTGCTGCAGTTTTTTGATATACTGAACTTAACTACTTAAAGTTTTACTTAATATAACTTCTGTTACACTGCAGACTGTATGACTTGATTTTTAATTCATCCGTACAGTTCCAACATGTCAGGAGCTGTTTTAACAGCCACATCAGTTTTACTTTATATCCATGAAATCTCAGATTACTTCCTTTCTTGTATTTCAGGTGAGATGTGATGCTTCAATAACCATATTAAATAAAAAAGTGCTTTATTTCTCACTTTAAAGAGCACTGATTATATAAATGTATTCCTGATCAGATCTCCATCCTTTCATTTTTTAGATTGCAACTTTCTGAAGAAATTAAAAACACATCACCTAAAAGCCACTGCGCATTAATGCACACAATCAATAATCTGAATTAATGCCGTGTTATCAAAAAATCTGCAAATACCTAATTATAATATGCTCATCCTGTTCCTGCAGAGCTTTTATTATTTTACAGCAGAGAAAATATGCAGGTGCTACAAAAAGACGCTGTAAACACGTTCTGCTTATTTTACTGCATCATTAAAATCCAACAAATGCAAGAATCTTGTAAAAATCAAGAAAACACAATCAAACTTGAGTTTGTATAATCCAGGTCACAAAGATAACAAAACCTCCCTTCCAACAACAGAGCATGTTTATCAYTTGCCTTGTGGTCCTCCTTAGTCATGTATTCACATCAACAGTAACTTTCATCAACATTAGTGCCGAGGCACGCCACGGTCACACAGCAAGGCCAGGAGACCCAGGACAGCTCCAAGCTTCGGTTCCCCCTCTTAACTTTCAAACCAGTCCCCAAAAGAGCAGCAAATACTGTTATCCCTCGATACGGTGAGAAAGCCATCCCGATGTTACAGGAAAAAACAACCAAAAGAGCAGCAAATACTGTTATCCCTCGATACGGTGAGAAAGCCATCCCGATGTTACAGGAAAAAACAACAAAATTAATCAGAGAGCAGACTCTGTTTCTTCTCAAACAGCGCTGAAATCCAGAGAAAATGAAAACACACAGCTCCTGTTTGAGCTCATGCGTGTGTGTGTTTGCAGAGCTCTGAGGCTGCAGCACAAAGGCTGTGACGGTCTCCACAACCGCCGGCCCGACTGTGCCACCCCCCCTGCCCACCCCCAGCCGCTGCACACACACACACACACACACCCCCTCATGACGTCTCACTGTGGCTCCGGCACGGATCCAGTGCGTAAACAACAAGCCGAGCTAACGCAGCTCACATGACGGCGTGCGCTGCTCCTCGTTTCTCGCCCGCCCTCCTCCATATCTAAAAGCTCCACAGCCATCATCAGCTCTGTTGACCTGTCACTTTCATCAGCGTGCAGCGCTTTATGACACTCATTACAGCTCAAACTGCACTCAGAGACTGGCAGAAGGAAGCATTACCAGCAGCCTTTGAACCCAAATTTCCCCTTAAAATTCCCCAACTCAGAAACAAACGTTTTACATCTGCCTTTTTTAGACACTTCCGCCAAAAAGATAACATAACAGTTTATAAAAGCTTTTATAAAGGAAAAATAAGCACATAAACATATAGTAAACAGCTAATTTTGTATTTACAACTTGATTTCTTAAAGTTCTTTTAGACACCAACGCACAGGTTTAATTTAGTTTCTTTAGTTCAGGGATTTTCCTCTGAACTGAAAAGATGATGTGGTTAAAACAGCAACTTTGAAAACTTTAATTTGAGCACTTCAACAACCTGATTGGATGAAAACTGGAACAGCAGCCCTTACGTTTTCTACCTGCACTTTACAGACATTAGAGATAATTTGCTTTACAAATGTTCAGATTTGTTAAAACATGATATGAAGCTGTTTTTTTAAAGCTCGTTGTGCTGAAAGACAGAAAAAAAAGAACAAGCAGGAAATGCATCACATTTGCCATAAAGTTCCACAGAAACATGTTTGCAAACTTTTAGGTGTTCTCTGCAAATTTAAAGTTTATGGTTTTGACTCACTTTCTTGTAAATAAAACAGTTCCCAAAAGTACTAAAGCTTGTTCAGACTTATTTTTTTTTTGTTATAAAAACCCTTTGAAAACAAGGGATACAAATATTTGCTGAAACGTATCAAATTTAACAATCTTATCAAAGTTTCTAAAATTCGGAAAACATTTTTCTCGCTCTCGCTTGTCAAACAGGTTTTTAAGCCAGAGGGTTGGAAAACTTCACACTCTTTCACCCATAGTTAATCTGTTTCGTCATTAATTTAGTCTCCAAAAGGCTCCAACTCTTCGGACCTTTTTCTTTTCTTTTTTTTTTTTATTTAATCTCTGCTGACGGGAGGAAACAGCCCCAGATTGGTCACTGAGGGGATTAAAGTGGCCTGGTAGTGTTAATCTCAAACGCAGAACATTTGTGTCTCAGATTGAGTTTTTTTTTTTGTTTATTCTTTTAATTGATTAGCCCCAGATGGGGCACTGGGCATATACACGTGCTGCCCTTCTGCCTTTCTCTAAACCCATCCGTGGCAAAGATTTAATGAGGGATTTAGGAGATTAACTACCACTGCATGGGCTTGGCTTTTATTGCATTACTCCCTATTAGGTTCTCCTGTTTTAGACCCATCCAGAGCGGTTTCCTCTTGGCAACAAAACGTCTTCGTCCAACAGTTTCTGCTCTGTTTCCAAGAGCACCGCTGCACCAGTGTTTTAAACCCGTTACAAAAGGCTAACAGATTAGATAAAACAAAGAAGCTGAGAAATCTGCGCAGTGTTTTTGTTTAAGCATCCTTGAAGAAAAAACAAAACCTGCATCTTACGTTAGAGAGAATTTCCCTTCCTTTTACGCAAAGAAAGTAAGAATCAACWTTTTCTTTATCTTCCTTATCTTCTTGAGGAATAATTAACACACAAYGCCTTATCAAAACAGATAATTGGAAAAATAACTTTCTTGCACAACAACTCCTACTGAATCGTGGCACATCAATGCTTTTCCAGCTAAAAGTGCTCATTATGGTGCTTCCATCACCACACTGCAAAAACTGTCCATCTCACCAAGTTTTAAAATCTTATATCAGCCAAAACTTCTTTTTGATCTTGTTTTGAGACTGATTTACTAAAC